CGGCCCCAGGGGTGGGGAGGTATTTGGGGGAAATGGGGGGGGCTGATGGGATACCCCCCAGAGACGGGGAGGTATTTGGGGGAGATTGCAGAGGAGATGGGGAGTGCTTGGGGGAGCTGGGGTACCCCCCCTAGAGACAGGGAGGTATTTGGGGGCGTAGGGCGGCATGTGCGGGGACGGGGGTCCCCGAGACAGGCGCTATTTTGGGGGAGGCACCTAGCTGGGGGGGTTACTCTCCCAGCACTCGTTCCTGCCAGGGCCTTGAGGATGTGTGCAGGTCCCTCCCGACCCCAGAAACTATGAAAGTATGGGGGTTTGGGGCGTGCGTGGGGGTGCGGGTCCCTCCAGGTGCGAGGTGGGGGGAGCGCGAGCGAGGCACTGGGGGGCAGCCTGGCTGCGTCAGGCCCCTTCGGGGAGCTTGCCCCCCCACGCGCCCCGTGGCGAGGAGGTTCGGAGCGACCCGCGCGCACCCTGCGCCTGTCCAGGGCAGTCGCATCCGTCCCGGCGGAGGCCGCAGAGGGCCCTGCCGGCTCGGGCAGACGCCTTACCTGCGTGCTTAATGTGACCGTGAACTCTCGGGCGCTGGGCGTAACCTTGGCGTTCTCATTAAACCAGTTAACAGCCATGGTGACTTTCTGTTTGCAAGGGCAGGGGATGGTGCTGATTGTGGAGTTCGCCACAGGTAGTATCTGGTTCTTGTCCTTGCTTTCTAACAGCTGATCTTCAGCTTCCCCCCACCTTATTTAGAATAATGTAAATTGGGAAAAAAAAAAGGAGCTCATCATCGTCTTAGGGAACATTTCTCAAGAGACTTTAAAACCAAAAACAAGACGAGCCTGCAGAGAAAGGCAACCTCCTTTTTTTACCTTTGCAAATTACGCCAGCGTGAAATACATTCTGATCTCCATCGCTTTGCATAGTATGCAAGCTCATTAATGCATTTGTGTAATAACATGCGGGAGGGTGGCGTTTAACTATAATCAGCTTATAATGCTTGGGTTAGACCTGATTTGGAAGGCACTGAATTCCTGTTTATTTTGAAGAGGCTCTAAAAAAAAATACCTGTTCGAAATGTAATTTTGTACAAACCCCCAAAAAGCAACCCACCACCACCGCTCAAGACAACCTGTGGTTTCTATGAGTGACCGCACTATTTAGCAGTGTCCCCTGGCTCAAAATGCCGTGCTCCTTCCTTCCCCCCAACCCCTACAGCAGTATGTAGTTTGCCATCCCTATTTAAAAATGTCGGTGTTAAGTTTTTAGGAAGGAGTCATTTTTTCTCTGAATATGGAAAGAAAGTTTTGTTAAATAAATTAAATGTAATTGTAGAGTTGAACTATAAGAAAACCCTGTAGCTTTTAAAAGACAGGGATCTCGTCTGAAATAGTAGCTTACTAAGGTTTCCAGGGCTATCTCATCCAGTGATTGCTGAGTTTGGTGTACCAGAGGGGGAGGAGTAGTCTTATAACTTCAATTCTTATAGGCTCTCATGCTACTAAGTCTCGTGTGAAATGATCCTTAGCGAGTGGCATGGCATAAACCTGAGCAGGTGACAGCTTGCAAGGCCAGGTAAAAGCTTCCTTTGGTAACGAAATGATTCTGCGTATTTTGCAGAGAGAACAGGAGTTGAGCTGGATTGTTAAGAGGCATGCGCTGGTGAATTACCAGTAATAGGCTTCAGTTTTCTCCACAGACATTTAACTACACTTTGCATATAATGGGATTCAGCTGTAAAAGCGGGAATGAAGATAGTAAAAATTACATAAGTAACTTTAAATGGTGGGTAGGTAAAAGTCGCAAAAGCTCAGATCTTGATGCTTTTGTAATGGCACATCCTACACCTTAATAGTTCCTGGTGTAATTATATGTCTGCTAATCACATGTCATAATTAACACACACTTGAATGCTGATCCTGCAAGCTGTTCTGTACGGGTTCCTGCCCATGCCAAACAGCGTGCTGAAATGGGACTTTCATGTCTGATGATGAGAGGTGTTGAGCACCTGCAGTTCCCAGGATCCGGGCCGTAGAAACATGCCGAGCCTCTTCTTGATGTGAGCATGTAACTGGGCACATTGGTAAAGATGTCTTGTGTCACAGTTATTGGAAATGGGCTCCTGGATTTTGTTTGATTTGGTATTGTGCAGATTTGGAGGGCTTCCATGTTATAAAGTACACTTGATCAGTACCTTATGTAGCTTCTGCATTGCCCTTGTTGGAAATAAATGGAGATTTGTTTTCCTCTAAAAATAAATAATTTGTAGTACAGGGAATGGAATCACAGCTGGAGGGGAGTAATTTCACTTCCTGTTCTCTCAGCCGAAAGAACTAGTTAAGATTGTAAATGAATATCTGCCCTTGTTTGATGTTTTATTAAGCAAGTGCTCATTCATTCGGCATGTGAGATGGGTCTCATATGCCATAGATGGTAACACTAACCTATACTTGACTTCATGTTCAATGCGATTGTTGCCTTTGTATTGAGGGAGGATAAAGTGATGAGCATACCAGGTTCAACAGCTTGTTGAAAAAGTCAGGGTTTGATGTTTTACTTCACAAGTCGTTTGCTTGTCATACCTGAATTCTTCTAGGTCATGGTTTCCTCAGAAAGGACCTGTTAATTGTACCAACTCTCATCTTTCATATTTTCATTTCAGATTGGCGATGATGAACAAGGTTATGACTTGGACTTGTTCTGCATACCTAAACATTATGCAGATGACTTGGAAAAAGTCTATATTCCTCATGGGCTTATTATGGACAGGTTAGTTTGACTTCAAATAATGTATTATGCCAACTTAATTTCATGAAATTGGGAAAAATGTCTACCAGCAACAGTTTTGTTAAGCCTTGTAGCTTTTTGCTATCTGATGATGATCTCAATAGAGGACCTTGTGGAAAATTTTTAATTAGGAACCACATGCTGTCTTCTAGAAAGAAGTGCAAGCACTAATTAACTCTCACACTCAAGCCTCTAAGAATTGGCACATTTGCTGCTGTGGTCATTTTCAAAACTACAGGATAGCTGTTAGGAGACACTGTACTAGTCTTAAGAACTAACCAAAAAAGCACCTTAGTTTAGACTGCAAACGGAAAACATTATAGCTTTTTAAATTTTATCGCAAGATTAATCCAAGGAGACTGGAGACATTGTTTCCGTACTTTCAGGTTAGGAAAACTTAATATCTTAAGTTCTCTTCCTTTCTGGGAAATGCATCATCAGCCTTTGCAAAACACTGGTCTATTGCTTCTCTACAGCCAAAACCCATAAAACTTGTATTTTCTATTTCTGTTCTCAGAGGGAAAAGCAGTTTCAGTGGCGTGATTACCAGAGAAAACATCTTCCAAAAGATGTTTTGGACATCTTCCTTTTGTACTTACGAAAAGATCTTTTTGAAGTGGAGATAAGGATAGCCCTAGAGTTCATGTTGTGGTAGTGAATTCCCACTAACTTAATAGGGTATTTTAAAATATTTATTTCCAGCATTAACGTATTTATATCATGGTATTATGAGAGCTATTTATGGATTTCCAATGTAAGTTAAAAGCTGACTAAAATACATAGCATTTGAGTAATATTTTATTAAATGAAGGGCTCTAGTTGTAGCCTCTTCCTAACAAGTCTGTGGCTGGCTGAATATGCTATAAATATTACACCATGCTTTTCTAAATAAATGAGAAGCTAAATTTAGAAATGATTTCCTTCTGAAAGATGACTGGTACAAGTAACATGTCAGTCAGCTGGCTTCTGGTGTCTGTGTATTGTCCTTAGCTTTGGAGTTAATGCAGGGTCCTTGTCACTTGTGTTTTAACCTGGAACAAAAGTAAGGCACTAGTTTTCAATCTGAGAAATGCCTGGTTTGTGTAGGATGGCTCTCTCTGCTTGTTCTACTGGTAAACAAATTTATATTTCTCTGTGCTTGGGGAACAGAAAAGCCGCAGAACATGCTTTTTTTTCAAAATCCACATGTGAAAGATCTACTAACTGAGCAAAGATTCAGATTTGTTTTGGCTGATTGTGACCTATAAAGCTGGCAGTGTGTGGCAATGTTACTGTTAGATTAACCTTGAGAAGTGAGAAAAGCAAAAACCTTACTGACCAGTAAACAGTAAAATTGGCTGAGAGGTGCTAGGCAAATATTTCATTGAGCAAGGAAGATATGTGTCCTAGTGCAGCATGCGTATTTCCCATTGCTGGCTGCAATACCGAAACATACTGCTGTAAGAAACAAATGGGCCTTATCCAGACGAGCATGGCTGTGCAGTATGTGGCACCGCAGATACGTTTGCAGCGCAACATACTGCATGTTCAGCTGTTCTCCATGCTGTAAGAGAGCAGTGCAAGGAGTGGTGGGGGAGAGTTTGACCCCTGGAGATCCAGAGGTCAGAAAAAAACATGCAAAAAAAAAAGTGGAGCAGCACCACTCAAAACCAGAGCCTGGCCAGCTAGAACCATGCTGCGGTTGCTGGCCAGGCTCCGAGTGGCAGGATTGCTGCTGCTGGAGCCCTGGGAGGCCCCCAGGGCCCCAACTAAGGTTGCTGGGGCAAACCCAATGTTGGCCCCAACCTCTCCTACCCCGCCCAGGGTAATCTGCCTCACACCAGAGTGTGTGTGGCATAGGCATTCCCCAGGGACAACTAGTGGCAACACAAGGTGCGCCACTGCCAATTGTTCCCAGGGAACCAAACTTCCATGCTCGTCTGGACGTGGCCTTGAGATGCTTTGTGATAAGTAATTAATGTTGGTTTGTTTTCTCCCTACAGGACAGAAAGATTGGCACGAGAAATCATGAAGGGCATGGGAGGACATCATATTGTAGCTCTTTGTGTACTCAAGGGTGGCTACAAGTTTTTTGCTGACTTACTAGACTATATCAAAGCACTGAACAGAAATAGTGACAAATCTATACCCATGACGGTAGACTTCATCAGGTTGAAGAGCTATTGTGTAAGTTTACTTCTTGCTTTGATAGAAAATTGAATACATTGAAATTATTAAATGATGTTGTTTTAAACTATTATTATTCATGCTGAAATGTGCTAGGTAATGTAGAGAAAGAAAGGAAATGATAGTCTCATATAATGCATACTAACAGCTGTGACCGGTGGGGAAACAGGAAGCTAGTGGAGGACAACTGGAGAAATAAAATCACATGGTTGCTTGTTCACATGCCATGTTACAAAATATATTTCCTGTTATGTGCACACACTTTCTTTCTCCCTTCCCAGGCCACTAAAATCCTCTTTCAAAGCAAAGCAGCCTTGTTTGTAATTCTCAACTGCCCAACCATTCTTTCTCTCCCCACATCCACAATTCAGTGCTGTTGTTCTAAGACAGGCAGGGGCAGTGGGGACAGGTTAAGGGGAAGGGGATTCCTATGTGCTACAAGGTATCACTGGCAGGAACTTTCCTACTGGTAGGACACCATTTGCTGAGTAGGGGAAATCTGAAAACTGCAAATATATTTGCATCGGAGTTCTAATTTACTTGCACTGAATATAGGCAGGATGATGGCACTACTAGCCCTTTTATTCTTTTATTTATCTCAGCGAACCAAATGTAACTAAAACTAATGGCATTTTTAGCATTGGAAAAAAAAGGTTCAGCTTTAATTTACAATCAGTGGTTGATGAAGAGCATGCTACCCTTTGGAGAATAGATGTAGGTTGGTTTGGTTTTGTTTTTCTTGGTAAAGGATTTATTTCCACTCAAGCATTTAAGTTGCAGAGTATTCAGAAATATGAAGTAATGCTTAAGCCTCGTGAGCATGAGAGAAAGCTATGTAGGTTAAAGGAAAGAATTCATGTACACAAATGTTACATGTTTCCTGATTTAGCAAGTGTCCACTCTGTTTCTTTGAAGTAAACTCAAAAGGCTGCTTTTTGGATGTATTCCATGGGACTCATGTAGTCTAGAAATAAGGTCATAAAATGAGACTTTCTAATAATTTTAAAATAGATTATTTCATGAGGTTTTACTATTAGCTGCATGTCAAAGGATCTTCACATTCCAATTAGCAGCCCAAAATAGCTGAGTCTTGGAAGAGTTCCTGTTCCAGTGCACAAGTAGGAAAAAAATATGGAGATTACTACATTGGAAACAACTTACTCATTCATTTGAGTAGACCATGAAACCAGTGATTCATTTATTTGCAGAGTTAGTTTTGACAGTAGAAGGACTCTGATTTGTTTGGTGGTGTTGCCTGACCAGGTAAAATCTCACTTGAAAAGGGCAAAGCCATGAGCTAGGTTCTGGTTTGCCCACATGCAGCTGTGCAGTGTTTGGGGTGGGGGTAGCACAAGTTGCCCTCTCTAGTCTTTCTTCATGCACACTTCGGCAGGGTATGAAAGGGTTGTATGCTGCAGCCTGTTGAGTGACGCACCCTGACGGGGTTGTGTGTGCAGTGCATATTTAAAGATACTGTGTGAGAACTGCTTTAAATAAATATTTGTCTCCTGGTCCTCATGGAACAATTTGGCCTCTTCCCCCTGTAAGCACCAAACCACCACACACACATGCTCTACCTGTAAAAGCCACGGTAAACTTTGACTGTCTTAATTACAGGAGGGGCATATTAAAGAACAGACAGTGTTGATCCTTACCTCCTCTAGGCTGAGCACACCATATTTTACACTGCAAGAGAGATTTTGGGGGAACTTCTTTGGTTAATTTAAAAAACAAACAAAACCTGTAGCTAAATGGGAGACTTGGTGATGAGCCTAGTCGGAAAATGTCTGACAAAAATGGTTTTTAGGAGACAGGGCTGCAGTCATGGTGTGTTTTCTGTATTCCTTTTTCTTGTGTATTACTCGTATTTACATCAATTTCTTTTGCCTATTCTCTTCTGGTTTTGCCTATTTTCTCCATAATTAGAGTCCCCTGTCACAACTCCTCATGCCTCTAAGAAGGGAATAAGGAGCAAGATTTAAAAAAAATGTTCATAGTAATGAATAAAGGAAGAGAAGTATAGAGACTGCTTTCTGGACAGTATGCTTTTTTTGGGTGTTGTGTGTGCTGGGGAGTTTTTATCAATTGGGCAAATGAAAGGATGATTTCTATGCTAGATCAGTATAGAAGTCTAATCAGCTGATGCATGGTAGTAATGCAAAACTTACTAGCATGTCACTTTTTGCAAGTACAGTAAGATGCTTATTAATGTTCAGGCTAGGGTTCTTTGGATTATTAAACATTGTGGTCTCCATAAGATTGCCTTAACAGGGACATCAATGGAATGAGTTGACTAAAATTATCATTGTTAATACTGCACAGGTTTTGGAGTACTTTCTTATCCCAGGTTCTCAGAATGCTTTACAAAATGATAACCATGCGATTTCATGATGGAGCAACTAGGACGCGTTAGTTAATAGAACTTGTCTGTGATCACACAATGAACTAATGCACAGTTGGAAAAAGAGCTTACAGTGCTTGCCATTGAAGTCCTTGGATAATGTTACTAAGCCATACAGGCTTCCTGATATCTTTTCATCCTGATGATAAAAATCTATATTGTTAGAAGTGTGATTACATAAGCAAAACAGCTCGACCATATAGCATATTTTTCTCGCATACAGCATGCCCCAGAATAAGACACGAATCTTGGTTTTGAAAGGCACAAAGAAGAAAAAAAGATCTTTCCTTTTGATCCGCTAAGGCCCCTGGCATATGTTCATTTGATGGCATGATTGGATTTGATCCCATCTTCCCAGCTGCTGGTTCTACAGGTGCCCTGGGAATTTAAACAAGCAGGTATGCAGGTGGGGCTCCCAGCTGCACACTTGCTTTTTAAAAAGGTTTGGGATGCACTGAACCCCAGATTGAAGAGAAAGTCCCTGATGTCAGGCTCACAGCATTCCCCTGCATCTGCCTTCGGGGATCAGGTTGGGGTGCCTGGTCTAGGACCCAGTGCTGTCCCAGCTCAATCTCACCATTTGGGTAAGGAACAGCTGTGTTCCAGACTCCGGGGCTGCCCCATGCCAGATCTGTACACTCAGCTGAGCATTAGGATCTGTCATGGATTAGCAACGAAGTACAAATTAGCCACAAAGATGTTACACAGTGTATGTGGAGTATCTTTGTGGCTTGTTTGCTATATTATCTCACACAATAAATTGGCTTTAACATATGGCTGGGTAACTATTTCTGGAGCAATTAACACTTTAATTGCATCTTAAATATAGTGCATGCCAGGGCCCTGAGTAGTAGCAGCTAGGGATCTGTGCCTGCTCATTGTTTTGCTTCCTGTGGATCATGTGCAGACTTTACTTTCGCTTTTGCTCAGCAGAAGCTGCTGATTTTGTACTTCCTGGCATATAATATATGCCAATTTCCAACAACTGTTTTTTGGGAAAAGGTGTGTATTGCATGCAAGAAAATACCCACTGCTCATGGCACTACAATGTCAGAAGGGCAAGCTCATGCTGTAATTGCATTCAGAAATGGTTCTCTAAAACAGGGGCAGTTAAAATATAATTAAACTTCATTTACAGCTCCTGCTTTCCCAGCTTTGTTTTTGGGTTGTTGTTTTTTACAAATGAGTAGTTCTAGAAGGAGCTGGCAGTGACTTTATGAAATTAGAAGATAGAACTTATGAACAAGCCCCGAGCTTGTGTATAACATGCCCAATGCATTTGTGTATGTTAGCAAGAATTGCTCTGTCAGTCTCCCATTTTTAAATTTAGAAATGAAAAGAAGTTGCTTGCATAGACATGAAGAAGAGCCAAAACAGGGATACTTGATGCGGGTGTATGGAGAGCAGCAGTGAGAATTTCAGGAAGACTGTGAGCCTTAGAAAGGGGTTCAGCTTGAAAGTTAAAATGGGTTTCAAACTGCATCCACTCTGCTCAGTGTCATGAGGACTGTCCTGATTACATCTGACAGTTTCTGTTAAAGTCATTTCTGGCCATTTGCTAGTGACTTCTGTCTTGAAAAGCATTGCTATTTGTGGAAATTGGTTTGTTGTTTGAAACTAGATGCCATTCCTGTTAGAGTTGAAAAAGTTTTAGTTTTTTGTTATCTACAGGCTGTTTAGAAAATCTAGTATACATATAGAAGTATAGGTATATGTGCTAGTTAGTGCTTGTACTTAGCATTCAGAAATGTAGGCAGCTGTGTAGTAAAAGGACAGGTCTCAGAGTGGGTGGTGAACTGTTGGTGCTGTCTCATTGTCATCATACTTTGGCTATACACAGTAATCTGCACTTTGTGATATTTTTGCCTGGGGTACAGGGTCCTGTTTTGCGCCCGACAGTTCTGATTTCAGGAATTTGACCTTGTGATTGTGCTGGGTGCCGTTCTGGGGGGGGAGTTTCAGCTCAGCTCTTGATGCTCAGCGGTATCCTTGTGACCTGAAATTTAGAAATTGGGGTGAGAGAAGATGTAGGG